GAGGTAGTTCCCGTGTTCTACTGACCGGTTTTTCAGTCTCTGGAATATCTCATCTAACGATTGCGGCACTGATGATGTCGACACTCTCGTGCTTGTGCTGGTTACTGTTGTTGTTTCTTGGGCTTGCCTTAGTGGAAGAAACTTCTTGGTGGCTACATTGTCTTTAAAACTCTGGATTCCTAGTTTCATGTTTCGCCATGTCGATGCCAAACGAGAAGATGGCTCTCCTGATCCTCCTTCATTATTACTTGGACCCGAATGGTCTGTTTCGAGTAAGGACACTTTCATGTTCTCTGGCTTTGTTGTGACGGGAGATGGTGAGTGTCTGTTCTGTTGTTCTCTGATGGCTGCGTATTTGTTAGTGATTGCTTCCCTTGCTGATCCGTATTTACGGGACATCTCGTCTTTCGATGAACTTCCTTTTATTGTATCTATGTCGTAGCTCGAGGACATCTTCATTTCAACTGAAGAATTTTCCTGCCAAAAAGATCAAAACTCAGAATCAGGCTTTGTAACAGGGTTAAATATCGTAGCCAGGCTTTGTAGCAGGGTTAAAATCGTTGAAGTTGACATTAAACTTACAGAGAAGTTGCTTCCTGGTTCAATGTCAACATCGTTGAAGTTTCTTGCCAATGGAAGAACATGCTCGCCGACTTTTTGTCCTTCTTCAAGCCACGTTCGCTCTAACCATCATAGAGAAAGGAACATGAATACAGAGTTATCGATCAAAGCCCAACTATGGTTAAAGATCACTAAGTTTTTATTTACCCTTTTTAAGTATCATCAACCCTGAAGGATCAAAGCCGTCCATGTCCTCGGCCTCTGTTTGAAATCTAAATCTTTTCCAGCTACCAAAGTAGTTAAATATGCGATCAAAGAAATTGCTTGCAACCAGCAATGTGTAGATAACCATTATGAGAGGATAGATTTCATTGAATCGTTGTCCAAAGACCGGGACAGCGTCGTCGATTCTACCCATTTTCTGCAGAACCAAATGAAAATAACCATAGAGAAACCAAGTTATAGCATGACTCCTTAAGACTTCTAAAACCAAGAAATGCGCAAAGGGAGGGATACAAATATACCTTCTCAAATATAGTCTCGGACTTAAGTTGAATGAGATTTATAAAATTGTAAGATATCGGCGGCGCATATCGAGCAATCATCCTAAAGAAATACATATAAACCATTTATAAGCATCTAA